CTCATACATCTCTAGCTGCACTCATCTATTCTTGCATTGATGAATACAGGAAATAGATATCAATAATTCTAAAAGAATCAACCCTCAGTCTCCCAAATTTCATCGAGGTCCCAGAATCCCTCCCCCACCCCACCCCACCCCCCTCCCAGTGCACCTGATACATCAGTGAACAAGTGATCCATAAACCATCAAAAGTGAAAACAACTCAAAAACGAAACAAGCAACTTGAACTATCGCTCTCATACATCTCTCGCTACATTCATCTATTCTTGCATTGATGAATACAAGAAATAGCAACAAGTACAGAAAAAATCATCCAAATAAAACAAGATATCAAGAACTCTACAAGAATTAAAACCCATCATCCCAAATTTCGTCGAGGTCCCAGAATGAAACTTAAAATTCACATACCACAACAACCCTCCCAAAAACAGAACAAAAAATAATCAAAACCCCTTTGAGAAAAAGGGTAAAAATACAAACTTTAATCAACTAATACAAAAAAAATTACCACTAATGTATCTCCATTCATAAGGTTTGAGCACAGTAGTTGCATATATGAAGCTAGAAAGAGTAGCACTCTTATGCGGGCCATCCCCACCTTGGACTTGTTCTCCATACAAAACCCAACAAGAATTAAAACAAGTAACTGTAAACACTAGAAATACAAGAAAAAAATTCGAACAAGAATGACCCAGAATCAAAAACATGTTTTCCCCCCTTTTCAAAGATGATTCTTTAGTACAGAATGAGGATGTTTACTGAATCATTCGCTTCTTCTCTCTGTGCCTATAAATATACATTAGAAAGAAAAAAAAACATTCCAAATTGGAATTCAGTCCATTAGATTTTTGGGTAATATAATATATTGTACAAAAAATATTAAATTAGGTGAATGTTTTGCGTATTTTCTTGGGTTTCTGGGTTAACTTGTGTTTCTTGAAATTGGACTAAGAAAATAAGAGTAATATTATAACGCGGCTCGTGTGATTATTATTTGTCACTCGACCTCGATACTTATATTGAGACTCTGATTAAATTTGAATTCACACAAAGTATATCATATGTGAGGAAAAATGTTTTTTAATAAACACAAATTTCTACCGGGAAAAATATTTTTCTTAAAAGAAATTGAGAAAATAGGTGGATTTTACTTTTTTTTATGTTCAATACGTAAGTAAACATATTTGTATATATTTAACGAATAATATGGGAGGTGGGTTGGAGTAAAGGTAAAGTATGTTGGACGATGTGGAAATAGTACACAATTAAGGAAGTTATTTCTCACTTTTAGAAAAAAACAAATTAAGCCTATATTTTGGTCAAACAAATATTGGAAAATCAAAATAATTTTTCTCCATATTAAACACATTCAAAGGTTTTTTTTTTTTTTTTTTCATTCAGTATTTGATAATTATATAAAAATTTAGCTAAGTTTGTATGTATGCACGGCAAAGTTCATTTTTGAGGGCAACAATATGGATTAAAAAAAATATTCTAATTTTTTTAAAAAACTTCGATTAAGAAAGGTCCATATAGGTGATGTGACAAATTTGAAGAAGAAAAGTAATCTCAATTAAGAATGAAAATGACGTATAATTAATAGTTTTATTAATTTCTTTTGTTTGTATCGTAAATTTAGTTTGCCTAACAATTTGATTCTCCAATTATAGGTAATAACATCAATTTGTGTTTATAATCAAGATGGAGTTAATTGTATCATTAATTTTGATATTTTATAGATATGTTGATTTTCGTAATACTTTAAAAGTTTTTCTTTTTATAAACTACATATATTTTATTTTTTAAGATATCAAAATAATGAAATTGTATATTATTTAGGAAAACAAATTTCAAGCTCTAAATAAGAAACTTGTAGACTTGGAACATGACTCTTATCCTTTTCTCATTTGACTCAACTAACCAAAAGAAAAAAAGAACTTTTCCATCAAATGTATTATTGACTTTAATATCAATATATCATATGCATTAATTATATATATGTATGTTCAATTTATGCATGTGTGTATTTTAAATTTTATCTTTTCTCTAATTCTCTATTATCTATGTAGATAAACAATTTTTTGTTATCAATAATGAATTATTTTTAAAAAATTATTATATAGTCGCAATATTGATAGGTGATTTTTTTTGTTTGGTATATAGTACTATTAAATATACCTCCATCTTTATGGAATAGTAATTATTTTTATATTACTTATATTCAGGTATAAATAGATGTTAGAGTTTTGATTATTAATAGTGATAATTTTTCTACTCTACTCATTTATATTTTATTTATGATTCGTGAGCAAAAGAAAATACACATTTCTCACAAACATGCACATGTTCATTCTCTAATGGCTAGCTATAAATATTCACATGATTCACCTTATTTTAGACATCTACGAAAAAAGCAAATGTCATGTGCTCAGTTAGTTTGTTGAGTTCGTTGAAATTTTATAAATTTTATGACTAATATTGTAAACTTGAGTTATGTTCTATCCTAGAATGAATTAAACCATATTTTAATTAGGTAATTTTAAGAAAAAAATAATTTCTTAAGAAAAACAATACAATTTTCAATTAAGCGCGAAATTAAATTATTATAACAATTTTTAATTTATTCTATATTTCTGAATTATAGTGATTTAACACTATTACTAAAGAGACATTATTGATTCCCAAATTATATTTAAATTTATATATATATATATATATATATATATATATATATATTGAGAGAGAGAGAGAGTATTTATATATATATAGAGAGAGTGTTGAGAGTTAGAAGAACTCGAGAGAATTACATAAATTTAAATTAAACAAATTATATTTTATATAAAAGCTTTTAAACTTCATCAAAATGATCACAATTTGGCAATTGTAAGTAAACGAAATTATATAAATTAAGACACTAGTAATATTTTTGGAAGTAGAATTGGAATTTATATCTTGGCTGGTTCGAGACGCATCTTTCCAATGCTCCAAGGTGATTACTATAGACTATAGTATTGTGATATGTAGTGTGCTTACAATTGCTAAATGTATCATAATTATGTTGAGGTGGACAATATGACAAATTAATTTAATATTGTTTATTAATAATCGTAGACATATAAACTTTACTGGATTAAATTTATACGAAATATGAATATAATTCATGTTCATTTAGATTAAATGATTAATTTGGTCTTTACAAATAAAGAAGCTTATTTTAGGAGAAATTATATGGTTAAACAAATATATACTAGTTAATTGGTTATCATAGCTATAGTTTTAGTTAATTACCACTAGCAACCAACATTCGGTGATAATTACGTGGGCAGGGGTTTCGAGTTTGTATAATTCGGAATTTGTAAAATATAATTTGTATAACTTTTGTATAATGTAATTTTGTATAATATAATTTGTATATTGTTTAATTTTCAGATGTTTGTGTTTGATAAATTTATTATTTTGAGTTTATACAAAAATAGTTCAATTATACAAATGTACCTGCAAATTATACAAATGAGACAACTTAAACTGTAGCTACAACCCGTAAATATACAAACTATAGTTATTGAGCCTAATGAAGTTTATTATAGTGGTTATTTGCGAAAATTTTCTCTTCATTTTATTAAATTCAAGTCTAAGGTCCATTTCACCTTGAAGCCCAAACCCATGCCACGTGTCACAATGACTAGGCATCCAAGACCAATCAGGTGATGTCATGTGTACAAATGAAGTGGAAGTCCCAACCAAATTTAAGAACCAATCACAATCTGTCAAATATCAAAATGACATTCTTTGGCCAACTGTAAGCAGCCCTGTCCACCCCCCTACTATTATAAAGATGGGATGAACATGACATTCTAAGGAATTATAAGAAAACTCTTCAACAAGTATTCTGCAAGAATTGAAGAAAGTTGCAACATAAACTACATAGTTCTTCAAAGGAATGATCAATGGAGTTCTTCCCGGAGATGGATTTGAAACGACAAAGTGTTTTCCGACGTTTTCAGAGATCAAATACATCTCAAGGAGGTTTATATCATCCTATATTAAAGAAATACGCTATTGAAGACCCTTAAATCACAAAGAAGTTTAGGAAAGAAGAATCAAGATAACAATGAAACTGTACGCACAAGATTCATTAATAAAAATAACAATTTTCTTTTATTTGCTTTGACTGCAGTTAATTATCAATGCTACGAAAATTTAGTGCAAACAATAATATAAGATATTAAGAAAGAGCATGACATAAAATTTTACCAACATTTTTCTTGTTTTTGTTAGTAACAAATTAAAAAGACAACAATTGGAGTCGTCGCTTTAGGTTCCAATAATTAAGGGACCAAAGTTATTAACTTTCTTCGTTTCGGTTTATGAATTTATAGTATAAAATATGTTATAAAAAATTATTTTTGAAGTTATATTGTTACTGAATATAAAAAAGGTCATTTGTTACAAACAAGAAGAAAAAAATATATCATATAAATTAAAATATGATTATTATCAATAAAATATTTCAAAAACCAACCTTCTTTTGGCTTGTGATCGTTCAAATAAGTGAGTACACTACAATGAGCTTTCTAGTTTCTATTTTAATTAATTAATACTTCCGTTATTTTTTTTTTAAAGGACCTAGTTTAATTTAATATGAATTTAAGAAGACAAAAAAAGATTTTTAAAATCTTGTGATTCTATATTAAATGTATAGTTTTTTTAAAAAAATTTTGTGATCTTAAATATATCAGATGAAAATTTGAAATTAAATTGTTATATAAAAAAAATACTAGTTTTAGATATTATCGAACATGAAATAATAAAAAAATCATAGTAGTAGAAGAATAGTAAAACTAATATGGTGCAGTCTGCGGAAAGTAGTTAGGCACAGATATCGTACAGCAGAAAAAGCCGCGGTAATATCAACCAATCATAATTCGCCACGTTAGAAATGAGAACGAGAATATCTGGTGTAACGCCATCTACATTATACAGTAATTCTCTCTTCTCTTCTGAATACATACTGAAAATCTGAATATTCCTCTTAACTTTTCCTTTCCAATTTTGTCATACAAAAAACGTGAATACTTGAGAACATCTCTCATAGTTGGTGCGTGTTTTTGGTGTACGGAACAAAAATGGCATCTGCAGATCAGATGGAGAAGATGAAGTTACGTCAGAATTATCGGAATCACTGGCACACTGATCTTATCAGAGCCACTGAGACTGATCCTCTTTGTAAACTCTCGATTTTTTTTATTCTAGTTTTTTCTTTGTAGTGTAGCGTTTGATTTTGACTTATAGAGTGATCTGTGGTTTTTTTTGCAGTTTGTTGCTTCTCGCTTTGGTGGTGAGTGCTTCTATTATGTACTATGATTATGATTGATGATCTTTGAATTTATTTGCTGAATAAGTAATTTATTTGTTGTTAGGTAAATTAGAAAAATGCCATCAAATTAGGGTTTTCTGAGCGAATGTGGTAATGGAATTTGAAAATTGAAGCCTTTTGTTTTAAGAAAGAAGCAAGTTCAGTATCCTAATTTGCTGTGGATTTTAAGGTCACTTTTGCTTAGAGGCCGATCAAAATTTTTGACTCAATGTTGGACGTCTACGTCCTACTAGCAATGGCTGGACCTAATATAAAGAGATTGTCGTTAGAAATCTCGAGCATCTCTATATCTCAAGCAAAAGGTGTCTTCGATCAGTATATAAGTCCAGTGCTTTTGCGGATTTAAGCTGCAACTGCAAGCTATTCCTATTCCTAGTACTGGTTGGTGAATCATTTGGAAGTAATCCCCTCTTCTGGTAGTCTTAACTCTTATGGAAATGCCTATTGTCAGCTTGAAAGTGGATAAAAATGTGTCAATAAAACAGGAAGGGTCACTTAGGTCCGAGCATCCTGCATCCTTTTCAAATTACTTAACACCTTCCTGCAAAATTATAAGCTGCTTATTGTTCAATGATTCAGTTCATTCTTAGCAGCAGATCTGGTGAAATTACTCTTCCATATCCCCTGTTATCACTAATCACAGGGAGATATACTGCTCAGAAACTTGGACTGTCCACAAAATTTTCCTATCTTCTTGTCTGTTTTGTTGGAAATATGAGGAGGAGAACACTTTCAATCATTCAAATTCTTTTCATCTTTCCTAGTTCATGAATAAAAATAATAATACATGTATTGTACTAAGGCAATTCATGTACTTCACTTTTCAACATATTTCCCCCACAAAGTGGTACTATGAATGTTCGTCTTATTGATTGTGATACTATTCAAAATTGATTATTTCTTTGCCTTTGAATGTTAAAGCGCTCCATGTGCATCATATCTTCTCCGCAAACGAGCTCTGTACAATGATATGTCTAGGTAATTGTTCCGTTTTTATATTTGTGTATACGAATTGCTGCATCTTGAAATATCTATTATTTAAAGACTTCCTTTTATAGATATACATGTTGTGGAGGCTACATGCCTTGTAGCGGCAGATGTGGAGAAAGCCGTTGCCCTGAATTTTGTCTTTGCACGGAGGTCTGGTTTCTTTCTGTCGATCCTACATTCTTATATGATATAACTCTTCATTGTCAGACATATATCTACATATTTTTTCTGAAAATCTCTGAATCTGTATCTTTATTTTTCCTAATTTGTTTCTCAAACATGCTTTTTTCTTGTAGGTTTTTCTTTGCTTTGGAAATTCTGTTGCTTCAACACGCTTTATGTTGCAAGATGAGTTCAATCTGCAGACAACAAAATGCGATAATTGCATAATAGTAATTTCAACTCTTCTTTATCTCCTCTCACTTCTCCTTGCTTGTAACATGCTCATCTTTTAATCTAGTAGTGCAAAGAATTTTTTACATGATATACTAGTGTTGTTGCACTTTTATAGCCTGTTAGTTATCTTTTTTATCGGGCTACCAACTAATACTACTTATCGGGTTGTAGGGATTCATGTTTTGCCTACAGCAGTTAGCATGCATATGCAGCATTATTGCTTGTCTTACTGGAAGTGAAGAAATTCAAGATGCTTCTCAGCTTCTGAACTGTTTGTCGGATGTTGTTTACTGCACGTAAGACACTGGGTTTTAAGTATCAAAAAACCTTTCATGTCCGGCTGTATTTTCATCTTCATTTACCTTTTCTCTTCTATTGGCAGGGTTTGTAGCTGTATGCAGGTATGTGAACACATTCTTCATCTAGGAAATCCTTTAGCATGAACATATTTCCACTGAAATAGTCAAATTATCTTACCTTTTCAAAATAAAAGTTCAATTGAAACAGTGAATCAGCATCCAAGCCAAAAAAAAGTTTTTGATAATGCAACACCAGATGCCTTATTTCATACAATTGCAACTTTTTTGTTCGTTAAACAATGAAAGTTCCTGTGTTTTGCAAGTAAACATAGGAGCTGCAAATTATTGTGAGCAACCTATCTTTAGACTCCACTCAAGCGATTCAGAATTAATCTATATCCCTTCAGCTCATTTAGACCCTATTAAAATGGACTCATCGTAATTATACTGCAACTTTCATCTCCATCAAACTTAGGACCAGCTATACTTTGCAAAACTCATGCAAGTTGAGTGTATGTTACTACTTATCAAAATCGTTTTTCAGAAAGAAGTTTGATCATGGCTAGTGAAGGAACAAATTATGCTTGCATAACTTCAGTTACTGGTGTCTTGTGAAGTACTCTAAATTGAAATGATACCTTCAGATTGCATTGTCCAATGTCCATTATTAGTTGTCACTCACTCCAGTCTTGATCATCATAATTCTATTCAGACACAGCACAAGGTTGAAATGGATAAAAGAGATGGGAAATTTGGACCACGCCCAATGTCAGTGCCACCTGTGCAACAAATGTCTCGGTTAGATCAGCCCGTTCCCCCTGCAGTTGGATATCCACCAATCCAGCAACCTCACGGATACCCCCCTCAACCCCATGGTTATCCACCACCACAACAACAGCCTCAGGGTTACCCACCATCTCAACAACAGCCTCAGGAGTACCCACCACCTCAGCAACAACCTCAGGATTACCCACCACCTCAGCAGCAGCCTCAGGGTCATCCACCACAACAGCAGCCTCAAGGTTATCCACCACCACAGCAGCCGCCTCAGGGTTACCCACCACTACAGCAGCCGCCTCAGGGTTACCCACCAGCCAACTATCCCCCACCTGGTGCTGGAGAACCCAAATCTGATCATCTTCAATGAGTTGGAACTTTCTTTTTTTGGCAGCGAAATCCATTGATCTCTACTTGAATTTAGTACAGTACTTTTAGACTATTCTACTTCTAGACTATTCTTCATTTCTTACCTTGTAGATTATGGTAGGTCACATAATAATTGACTTGTGTAAGTGGATGACTTATTCTTTGCGGAGTGATCATTCAATATTAAGATTTTTTATTCATCACAGGAACATTTGAAACAATTCCTTGCATCACCCTGAGATAAGAAGGAAGGTTGGTTTGACTCCGACTCTTAGATGTGATCTTGTCTGTACCCATTAATGATGTAAATGGGAAGTATTTTGTTGCATATATCACTGGATATTTGCATATCAACCTCGTGAAGAAAAAATCTCAAAGCAACCATTAACATATGAACAAAGTATTCTCTAGGAGTAAAGGATCAAAATTGTCTTGTGTTTTTATCATGGAACACTATAATCTTAATTTTGTTCTGAAATTCATTAAAAGCTTGATCCATTTTTTGAAGCAACTATGTTGTTTAAGGCATAACAATGGCAGAAAATCAACTCCTACTTATGGTGAGAATTTTTTTCATCTCTAGATCATTGTTATTGCTTTTGAGAAATATGTATTCTACAGTTGAAACAAAAACGTGGTAGGAAGATTATTATATTACTGCTCTAGTAAGGCTGCTCTTCATGATTGGAGTTAAAGTAAGTGTTTTTTCTTTTGCATCACTTTCTAGTCACAAATTTTTCATGAGATGTTGTAAAAATAAAAGAAAAGGCTTGATTAGGCATTCAACTGACACTATATACCATTAAAAGCTGTGGTGAATGATTAAATTCTTTCGATCTTTAACTAGATGTCTCGATAAAAAGTTTTTTTGTAGAATACATTTTTACCCTCTTATTGATCCTGAATCTAGAGATTAGGATATTGAATGGTTAGATTCAAAAAAGAAACTACAAAGTATTAAGTGGTAAGAAACTCATGATAGTCTTACTATTCACAAACAATATTAGGATCAATGGTGAAACCAAAAAAAAAAAAAACACTACAGAAATCAGCCAAAGTGGCAATGGCAATAGCATTTGGGTTGTAAGAAGTAATAAGATCCTCCTGCATCCGCAAACGAACTGTCGAATCTCAATGTCAGTGGAGGCATGGAGCTAGCTATGTAGGGTCGTTATAGCAACACAAGATGATGCACCTGGAATGGAATCTGGTGTGTCATAGTTCACAAAGCTAGCGCACACCGATATCACTGTGATACATTCTTCATCAGCTCCAACTTCGTGAATTATTAAGGCGACCCCAAAAATCATCATTATATATCTATTGGAGAACCTTCAAGTTTAAGAGAATGACTTTACTTAAAACAAATTTATCGATTATAATTTTTTTAAAAGTAAGAATCGAATTCCCAAGATCTCTGATTTGATGTACTATTTTCTGTTTATATAATTACGAGCATTGAATTTCTTTATTTTGAATGCAACAATATTGTATTTGATTATTAAGTTGAAGCATTTTCCATTCGTTAGTTTGTTTTATACTTTTGTAAACTACAACACCTTATGTAATATATGCTTGTTTTTTTTAATTTCAGATCCAGTACTTGAAGATTCATTTGTTAGTATAAAAATATATCATGAGGGTGTCATGAGACGTATTCCAGACAAACAATACATAAATGGCGGCATAGACTATATTGATTACATTAATGTGAACACCTTGAATCTTCAGGAGTTTAAAATGATGGCGGAGATTTGTGGATATGCATCTGTTCAATATGATGCTAGAGACAAGCCAATTTTGATACTTTTGGAGAAATTGAGATATCTACTCATGGCTAGAATGCTAGCTAACAGGGAGAAAGCAGAACAATGAAATCTAGGCGATGTTTGTCCCAAGATTAAAGAAATATTGCTTAAAAATCAGAAGGCAGTCGGAGAATATATTCCTAGAAAGTCAAATCAATGGAACTATGAAATTATAGGAGCTAGTATCATGGATAATTGGGCAGTGGACTTGAAGAAGAGAACCTGTACTTGTAGAAAATAGAGTCTCTTGCAAGCACGCAACTGCAACTATTTGGGCTAATCGAGAAGACACTCTTGATAATGTCCATGATTCCTAGAAGAAAAGAAGCTGATGAAGTGGGAGCAAGTCGAACAACGATGAAAAGTAAACAAAAATCTCTAGATTGTAGTATTTGCCACAAGTCTGGTCACAACAAAAGGACTAGCAAAACTAAAGATGTGCAACCTGAAGCTGCAGATGAAAGACAAAAATTGATATGTAAAAGCGTGTGTTTACTCACTCGCATGACTTATATTTATAATATAGAATAATCACAATTGCAATCCTATTACAACTACAATACATAGAGATCAACTCTAACACAAACTCTAACAACTGCTCTTCTGTTTGTGATAAATTACATGTATTATCTTTTAACATCATTTTTGAATTATTTCATCATTTAATTATCTTTAGCTAATATAAAGTATATATAAATATTTATATATATTGTGTTTTCAGGTTAGACTAAGATGTTCTGAAGTTCAACAAGAAAATATGAAACATGGAGAAGTAGGACAAGGAGAAGAAATGAATTCTTCTTGGGAAAATTCACACAAACCCAACAAAGTGGAGTTACATTATATAAAAATTACACCTTTTTTGGGTAAAGAATGGATCATTGTGTGTTTTTCAAGTTTAAACTATATTTTGCTATTGTTTTTCAGTTTCTTTTCTTTTTTGGTGTAGTTTCTGTGAGAATCTGGTGCAGTATTGGTGCAATTTTTGCGTTGTTTTAGTGCGAATATGGTGCTGCTGTTTTGGTGCAAATTTGGAGTCTGTTTTTGGAGCTTTTCTCGTGCAGTTTTGGAGCCGTTACAGTGATTTTCTAGTGCTGTTTCTGGTGCAGTTCTAGTGCTTTCTGGTGGTGGTGTTGATGCAAGTTTAATGCTGATTTAAAGGCTATTTTGATGCTGCTGTTTTGGTGTAATTCAAATGTTGTTTTGATACTTTTCTGGTGTAATTTTGGATCTTTTATGCTGCTAAGTTGGGGCAACCATAGTGTTGTATTAGTGTGAATTTAGTCCAGCTAATATGGTTCATTGTCATTACTGTTTAGGTGCAATTCTAATGTTATTTTGATGAATTTTTGGTGCTATTTTGATGCATTGTTGGTGCTCTGCTGCAGTTTCGGTAAAGATTTGCTAAAATTTTAGTGTTTTTCTATGTAGTTTTGATTCTCTTGGTGTTGGTAAATACAAGAGACTTTATATTTTATGAATTGAAGTCTGTTTGCAAGAGTATCAAAAATGTACTAATTATTGAAACATGAAGGACTTTTAGTGCTCCGTAACAAAACACAAGAATTCTTTGATTCTTAATTCAAACACAAAAGGACAATTTTAATCCTTTACTCTATTCTCTAGTAGCCAATTTTTTTGTGAGTTTATGATCAATTAACACATTCAGTTTTCAAGTCTTCAACACTAATTAATTGCAAACACTTTGTCTTTCTTATCTTAAATGCCCTGTCTATGTTGACTTTAGCAGTCCACAGAGAGGAAGAGACCTATGGACGTTATTTTTACACATAATATTAACACATGTACTCTTATTGAACTCATAATCTTTACGTGTTATTATTATTTTGGATCCATAACTTATTTTTATCCGGGCATCTCTAATCCTACACTCTATTTTACTCTCTAAATATAAAGTTCTCTATTTTTTCAGACAATCAACTCCAACCCAATTCTCTATGTTACTCTCTAAAAAAGAATATTTTTCTCTCTCCTCAATATTATAATATTATTTCTATTTCATTCTTATTTTCTTATTTCATAATATAAATTATTTGTTTCTTTTTCCCAATAATTACTTTATATAATTCTCATGTGATACAAAATTTTATTTTTCAATTTTTTTATTTAATATAAAATTATATTTTATTCTAAATTTTTAAATACCATAAATTGCAAGAAAATATTATATTATATATAAATTAATGGACAAATTCAAATAAAAGTGAAATACAATTACATAAACACTCAATTTTTGAAATTATTACGTTGCTCCCATAAATGCTCTATTAATGCATTACGGAGTTCAGAATGAGCATTTTTGTCCTTGATTTTTTTATGTCTAGCTAAAAATTGTTCAAACCGGAGGTTTCATCTACCACCATTTCTGTCGTGGGAGTTGGAACCTCTACGACACCTTGAATTGGTGCATTAAGATCACGTTCATCCTCAATTATCACGTTGTGCAGTATAATACATGTAGTCATTATATCATGTAGCACTTCCTTTCTCAAAAAAACGTGACAGTCCTGCAATAATTGCAAAACTCCGAATGCACGTTCAACATCTTTTCGATATGATTATTGTTTCATCGCGTATTAATTATTATGTTATGTATTGTATTTTATCTTGTATTTAAATTATTATGTTATGTATTGTATTGTTATCTTGTATTTAAATTAAAATTTTCATCTTACCATTTTAATTTTGTGTATTTTTTATAATGAAAATTAATAATTTTTTTTAAAAAAATACTATTAATTTGAAATAAAAGTAGTATATATTAAATAATATTTTTCTTAAAATATTAGATTATATTTAATTTTTTTTTATGAATAGTAGATATTTAATTAATGAAATTATATGTAAAATAATATGTTAATTAGAAAGTAATGGAAATAATAAAATATTGAAAAGTGAAATAGAGAGTATAGTAATTCTTCAAATTTGGAGAACTACTATTTAACTCTCTAAATTTGAAGAATAGAGAGTGATTTGGAGGTGGATTGAAGTATCCATTCTCTATTTTACTCTCCAACTTTCCAAATATAGAGAATGGAGAGTAAAATAAAGGTGAATTGGAGATGGTCTTAGAATTTGCACATTGCCTAATAAATATACTACAAGAGATTTTTCTGCCAAGGGTTTAATTGGAATATGGATGATATTGAGGGATCCAATTCAATAGTAATACTTTATTTGATCTTTATGTATCCGTTATGTTCTATCCAAGTTAGTAGACAATAAATTAATTATAGCACAAATTCATGTTAACGATCAGCTAGGAAAGATATGATTAGAAATAAGGATATCCTAAATAAGAGGAGAGTGACTTTTGTGGAGGAGAAGATCCGGGAAATAAAATTAAGATGGTTCAAACATGTGAAGACAAAATG